CTTTGAATAGTTTCAATTTATTTGCAGGGTCATTTTCTGGTCTGGGATTTTTATCACTGTACTTATCTGGGAAGATAAAAGCATTTGATCGCAGAGGTCATGTTGCAAAACTATGCATTATTTTTCTGCCACTACTTTTTGCATCACTTGTTGGCATTTCTCGAGTCGATGACTACTGGCACCACTGGCAGGATGTGTTTGCGGGAGGCCTTTTAGGTTGGTCCACCCTAAGTATCTCAGTTAGTTCTAAATTAAGCCTCGAGAACTACTTACAACTGTTTCTGGCACTTTACTCACTCAATAATATTTCTTCTTTCAGGGCTTACAGTGTCTACATTTTGCTATTTGCAGTTTTTTCCGCCTCCTTATCATTCCGAAGGTTTGCTTCAAAGCAGATTCTATTACAGAGCTCGCTTTCCATAAATAATTTCCTGTTAAAAATTAGCCCAAGTTCATATATCTGTTTCCTTTACGAAGCATGCTGTCAACCTTTTTGATGTTCTAGATATATTGTTTTCCTGTGCAGGCTGGGGTCCTTATGCATACTTTAGGATGTTGGAAGAATCACGACAAATGACCCAAGTTCCTAATGTTCCAAATTCTGGTCATGCACAGTTAACAGAGGTTCAGGCTGAGAGTGAGGAGGGTCAAGAAGGTTGCCATAGGTATATGGGGCTATCTTTATCACGGGATCGTAATGCAACACTGAATGACATTGAATCTGGAAGAGGATAAAGTGTGTACATCTAAATCTAATGATCCTACTCTTTGTAAATTAGATGCCTGTTCATATCCTAGAATTTTAACCAGGAGGATCTAGAACTACCACATTTTGCTGAAAAAAGTGTTTTACTGGGTTAGTCAAAAGTTTATAAAATCTTTGAAGAATATTTGTTCGTAAGAATCATGTCCGGGACAAATCATCTGTTTCTTTATTTGTGAATATGTAAGAAAATACGAAATTTCTTCTGGTGTCTCTCCTGGAATGCCAATTCATTCAATCATAATTTACATCACAGAAAAAAAAAACATCAGCAGTATATATATGAGCGGTGTATTCAAATGTTGATTGATAGCATGCAAGTAGAAAATGTCGACTTTGATTATGTGATTGTTATTTCATGAACTAAGGCAAATCAAATAAAGCATCTGATATTATGAATACCCTACGCAGACAACCAATGAAAGGTGTCAATTTTCAAGAATGAACAATAAACATAGGAAGAAGAAAAAGAATATAATCAAATCTGAATAACAACTGTTTTGTGGGGATCTGAAAATCTTTTGTTGGACTTTCTAGACTTACGAGTCTGGAAACTAAAATCGTATCCAATGCCTTGGCCGAAGCCGAAGCCAACACCAACTCCACAACCCATTCCCAGGCCAAAAACCAGGTGGAGGTGGTTGAAGGGCGGCCAGCCTCCGAACCCCAACCCACCAACCAAACCCAAACCTATCCCGGCGCCGCATCCGATGCCAGCTCCGAAGCCAGGACCCAACACTGATGTTTGAGCTTTGGGAGTTTTGTTGTTGTTTCCTAGGAACTTCGTGACAGAGAATTGTTTTTGGTTGGCGTTCTTGTCGGCATTCCAAGTCCAGAAAGATTCAGCATCAGCTTTGGTTTCCATTTCTTTGCTTTCCTTCAGTGTTCGCTGCGGCTGCGGTTGGATAGGATTTTCTAACTCGTAGGTTTGGGTATGATTTTTTGTTTCCACACCACGGGCCCAACATAACTAAAATAAATCTCTGTTTTTATTTTTTATTTATTCTTAAATCATTTTCATTTTACTTTTAATAAAAGAAAATTTAAAACTATTATTTTTACAGCTTGTACAATAAGTAAACTTTGATTTTATCAAAATTAATTACATGGGATGAAGTTCATAGGAAGGCACTAAGGTCTTAGAAATCTCAAAAAGGATTCTTGCCTCAAATTCATCACATGCATATTTCTTTGACACCTGGCGAGGGTTTGGAATCCGTTTAACACCGAAAATCTTATCACTGTTTATAGCACGTGTGTTCCCTGCCATCTTCAGCATCAAGTTCATGTAAACGTTCTTCAGCTTTGCCAACATCTTCAATGGCGATGTCATCAACCATCTAAGCCTTCCACTCGTTCTCAACCTCCAATGCCTACGTGGACCTCTCAATTGGATTATCGCCATCTTCCTCCTTCCGGTGGCCGCGCCACCGTGGAGACGCCGGTAGCGCTGCCGTCTCAGGTACCTCTTTATGCCTCCGTACGTTGCCTTGGGAAATAGTATCTCCATTTTCTTGCTTTGAATAGCTCCAATTTGAAGATTAGAGTGTATTAGATTGTGTTTGAATGCTTGGAACTTGTCTTCGCAATTCAGCAAATATATAACTGAGAAATTAACACTCTAAAATTGTAACATTTCATATAAAAAAAATTCATGGTAGGTGGAAAAAACAAACACACGTGTCTACTGTTGATAACACCATGATATCAGCACCTACGATTTTTTTTTACTTTTTTTTTCATATTATATATATGGCTGCTTTTGAGAAATAATGAAAAATAAGCAATGATCTTTGACCAGAAATGGTACTATGATGTGTATGAGACAACAATCACGACCAACACAGTGTTTGGCTTCGTATCTTCCTCGGAATATGATGTAGGAAAATTGCTTTTTAATACTTGGAAAGAAGGAAAAAAAAGACAGAGTCATTTTCATTCTCATTGTGGTCACTCTCAGTTTCTGTTTAATTTTTTAAATATTTGATGCTTAAATGTTGTTAGAGATCCAATTCAAGTAAAGTGCACTTGATTATAGTCAGTTGGCTGCCGTATTTGAAAAATAATGAGATTTATTTATTTTTAGTTTTTAATTTTTAATTCATATAGGAATATGTAATTGGAGATAGAAAAATCAACATGTTTAATTCAATTTTGGATTGAATTTAGAACCTTTAAGTCAATAATAATAATATTTTATAATATTACTTGATAGCAAATTGTAATTAACAAGTAATGCGTTTTTTTATGAAAGTGGTAAATTAAAATATATTTAAAAAACTCAATACTACTAAATACTAATAGCATACGGGAACTACAGCGTATGTTTACTTAAAGAGTCATTACGTAAACCTTCAGCAAATGCTAGCCAATGAGCTTGCTCGACCGGAGATAAACGATAAAACGCTGCTAATCACGATTAAGATGTGTTTGGTCCTAATTAGCCTAATGATAAAATAAAGTAATTCATATTTATTAAAAGTATCAAATAACCATAAGAGTCGGACCATATAATATACTTACTATGATAACAAATATAAATAAATGATTGAATTAAATCTTTGATTTATTATGAAACTTCAGTTTTCTATTTAAAGAACAAGCAAGCACACTTTTTTTCTTTAAGAAAAATATGTGATTCAAATAACATTTGGAAAAAGGTTTTTAAATAATCATTTAATATTAATATAAATCGAGAGTATAGTAATCTATATGTTGTGTAATTTCTTAGTTAGTAAGAGATTTTAAAGCCTTTCACTTAATTCTCTTTTGATAGAATTTCACATTTTCCATTAAGAATTAATATAACTTTTATAACTTCTTGTAGTGATTGATATAACCTACGTCAAAAGATGTTTTAATTCTGTTTGATTTTTTCGACAAGTTTACTGATGAACATAATGATGCTAAGGAAGAGACAAACCCATATATAATTGTTTTTGGGGAAACTTTCATAGAAGAAATTCAACGAAATCTTTCAATTTCTTATTTTAAACTGTTCATATACCTGTATCTCTCTAATCTAATAAATTAAAAAATAAATACTATAATAAAACTTATCTTATTCATGCAACTATTTTAAGCAGAGTGTTTCTATGCATTGCTATAATTTTTATTTATTTGCTTTATGATAATGTTTCGACTGATACTCTTTGGAACTTTATCAAATTTACTAAAAACATATACAGAAAATGTGCTTCCTATGAATTACTGTGAGAAATTTGCAAAAGTAAAATAAAAATCTCACAATATAAAAATTAAAGTAATAAAAAATATTATAAACGTAAACAAATTTTCATTTATACTAGACTTATTTATATTCGATGTTACAATAATATATAAAAAATTATAAAAAAATATCTATAATTTTTTTTTCGCTTCTCTTCACGTATAATAAATGATAACTGTGTAGAGCTTATACATGACGTAAGTAAAAGAAAGTCTTACTTCTGAAATCTGCTGCAACATTTGTACAGTATGAATAAACAAATGAAAAAATGGCGGCTTTTCAAGTTTTCAAAAAAGAAAAAGTTATTTATTAAAAATGTGTATTAATTAAGTAACCAGATATTCATATCTAAACTTCTAGATGCACTTATTTATTTATTATAAATATATCATACTTTTCTAATTTGATTCCGTTTCCACATGATTGATCCTTGTGCTGCACACATAGTCCTACACGAACCATGAATAAAAAATAAATTCATCCATTATAAATACTATTATTTCTATTTTTCTTTCATTATACTCCATTCTATGTATATTTGTTACAACCATTAATATTATATATATTTGGTTTTGAAATAATAAATATATATTAACCAAATAATCCGTAACGTCAACTTGTTTTTCTTCTAAGGTCATATAATCCAATATTTATAGTTAAAAAATTAATTTTGACATGATTTTAATGTTAATATAAGGTTTTATTTATTTAAAATGGATAATTAGTTACATATATCTGTGATTAGCAACTTTTTAACAGAATTCAATATCGAATATTCGTAGTGGCTAGTGTTGATTATGTCTTAAGTTGATTTCATTATGGTAGAAGGAGGAATCATTTGTTAGAAAAAAAAATAATATTAGGACGAAATTATGTTGTTCAATGTTCATGTTGACTTCCATAATCAAACCCACCATTTTCTGGTCAAATTGTAGTTTCTTGACTTTTTCTTTCAAAACCCAGTTAATCCCTTTAAATACTGGAAGAAGGTGCAGTTTCTACACATCCAAAAAATCACTTTGGTAAGAGAAGTTACCATCATCATCTTCTTCTTCTTCTTCAACATTTGCAACACTATAATATGGAAACAGATTCACTATTGCCTAAGCCAACATACGGTGGCATAAAGAGGTACTTTAGAAGACGGCGCTACCAACGCCTCGACAGCGGTGGCGCCGCCACCTTCGCCGGTGAAAGGAAGACGAAGACGATTAGGTTAAGAAGAAGCCCACACCGGCAATGGAGGATTAAGGCAGTTCCAAAACTGACATGGATGGTTAGGTCACCTTTGAAGATGTTTGCAAAGCTCAAAAATGCTTACATGAACTTCATGTTGAAATCTATGAACACCGACAACATGTTTGGAAACAAAAAGACTCTCAAGATTGATCGTCAAACGTCTAAGGTTTACAAGAATGATGCGTTCGAGGCTAGGCTCATTTTCGAGATTTCCAAGGCCTTGGTTGCGTCTCATGAATTATATCCCATGAAATAATCGTTTATTTTCTTTGTTTAGTTTTTTCGATTTTTTCTTCCTAAATTTCTTGTGTGATTACAAAAAATGTTAAAGAATCACCAAAAATCTGTATTTAATTCTTGTTATTTTGACTCTCCGTCGTTAGTTTTATGTGAATGATCAAACTTATTTATTAATAGAAGCTAGTTTGATTCAATAACTTTTACTTATACAAATGGTTAAATTTTGGTTTTAATAATAAAATTAGCAAGATCTTTACGTTATTATATGGTATAATTTTTTGTACTGAAAAATGAGATGGTTGATTTCATGTTCAGATGCTGGCTGGCTACCCACGTGCTTGGGTTTGAAATATACATTTCAGAACTGTCAAATGCAATTTCATTGTTTATTTCATTTGACCAGAACGTTAAAAAAAATAGTCACCCTGATAGATTATGCTAGAAAAAATAATTTACTTTTTTATGATAAAGAAATTGAGATATAAATATTACTAAAGTTTTGAATTTCTTGCAGTCGCACGTATATATATATACAACGACACCCATGCAACATTGGATCAATTATCTTTGTTGACTTTTTACCTCTGAGCAAATTCATTTGAAATTTAAATGTCGAACACAAATTGCACGAATCTCTAATCCTAAAAGTGTTATTTAGTTTTTACTTAATCGTAAATAAATGGAGATATATTAATTGATCTTTTGAGTCTGAGTAGAAATAAAAAATTGATTAAAATATAATAATAAAAACTTACAAATTTATTACTTTATTAAGGTTTTAGATATATA